GCACGCCTGCATCTATCCAACCACCGCCCTGTCACTGCAAGGACTAACTGCTTCTGGCACTGTTAGCCACCCCTCCCGGCACTGGGTGGACTCTGGCTTTACAGTGCACTCTCCCGAGGTACTCTGGTCAGGGGCAAGAGACCTTTCTTTAAGCAGACACTGAAGGAAGTTCTAAAATGGCCAGTGTCCCTCTTTACTCCCTGGCACCGCCTGGCAATGCCTGGCAATGGTGGTGCTGAGAGCTACGCGGGAGAGAGCCAAAGGCACCAGGAGCTTCTGGAAGGTCCTCATGATTAAGCCCTCAGACAAAGAACCTGGGTGGTCTGCGCTGAGGTGACACATCACCCCAAGTCCCATGAGCCAGGCCCTTCCAGGAGCAAAGGTCCCCAGGACCCACACCACCAGTATGGGAACTCACCCCCGACCCCTCTATTGTCACGACGTTCCTCAGTGTCATCCAGTATAATCTGTGTACTTTACTGAAAACGTTAAAAATGTTAAAGTACTTACGTTCCATTATTCTTTTATAAAATTATCCAACTCATTCTGAATGCGGAGGAAATTAAAGAGGGAAAGCGAGAATTAAAACAGGTTGGTCAGCTGGGGCATTGAATGGTGACAGCAGTGGGGCCCAAGGGCAAACCCCCTACCTCACAGGGTCTGCTTCTCCCTGCGGGTGGCCCTTGGCCCTTGGGGCCCGCCTTACAGTCCCAGCCTGTCCTGTCCTGTCCTTAACCCCATGCCATGCCTTCAGATGGGACCCCCTGGGGCAGAGCTAATTTGACTTGGGACAAGCCAAAGCCCCTTTTCTGGAGATGGGGAGTCAGTGGGAGGGGAGGGGTGTGATGGGTCCAGGCCCAAAGCTCAGGCTACACCCCCACTGCCCTCTGCAGAGCCACGCACCAGGCCTTCCCCTAGGTAGCCCCATGCATGTGGTCGCTTCTGACTCAGGGCTAACCTGTCTGGCGAGCTCCAGCTCAGGCCCTCCTGCCTGCTTCTGGCATCAGAACCACAGGCTATGTGCACCAAGGCTGTCCCGCTCCAGGTCCAGGTGCCCCTGTGAGGCCTAGAGCTCACAGCTACACAGAAATCAAGAGAACTTGGACAAGAGGGGAAAGGGCTTTGTGGGTCACCAATACCCCAATATCCTCAGCTTTCCTCCTTGGGGTGTCCCAAGCCCATCCCAAAGCTGCCAGTGCTCTGTGGCTGACTAAAGAGTAACCCCGCCTAAAATATCCAGGTCCTAATCCTCAACCTTCAGGTGGCAAAAGGCACTTTCAGCCAGGTTATGGGAAGTGCAGGAAGGCCCTGCACACATGACCACGGAGGGTGGTGCAGAGGACGTGCTCTTCTGTGGATGACTCTCCTGCACTTAAGTAGATTTCCCAGAAACCCGAGGGCTCTGTGGTGAAGGTGTGTAGATCAGCACAAATGATAGACATAGCTCCCAGCAGAACTACTTCATCAAACCTGCTACGGAGACCAGCAAGGTGACACCCACCAGGTCTGCGGGGGAATGACCAACGCGCAGTCCATCGCCTCCCAGCCCGCCTGCCCTTGCAGCAGCTCTCTGTGGTCACTGCAGCGGACAGGCCCCTCCCAAGGCCCCGACTGCCTTCTGCTGCCCTCTAACCCCAAGGGTCAACTTAGTTCAAAGGCATTAAAAACCTGAATATCCAAAGTTATCTAATATATGGGGCTCCCTCCTGTTTTACATAAGAGTCAAGCAGGGAGCGGCAGGGCCCACCAGGCGAAATTACGTGCCTGCCTAGCAAGTGTGTGCACGTCACTGCCAACCACTTCCCATTGGCATTTACAGATACCGAGAGCTTTGTGAGCACGTTTCCTCTGTGCTATTCTAACTTTACACCAGGAGCTTGGGTGCGGAACAGTGAGACAAAGAAACATGCTGACTTAATTCCCTGCACAGCACAGACCCTTTTGCTCTCTCGTCCTCATTTTCCTAACTCCCCTTGATGCACAAAATCCACTGTGCAATGCAGGAGAGCGCGGAGAGCCGCTCCAGAATTTGGATTATTCCTCCCTACACAGGCACACACAAAGACACATGCACAAACAACTGTGCGCACACATGTACACACATGCATGTATGCACAGCACACACCCCGTGCATATGTGTGCACATGTGCACAGGCACACACCCCACTGGGAAGAGATGAAGGGGAGATGGTGAGTTGAGAAGCCCCTCAGTCTCGGGGTCCTTAAGCCATGACTACCATTAAGTAGCAACCAGGCCTTGGGCCCTGACCGACCATGACACGGTTTTGTAAACCCAGCTCTATGAGACCCACAGGCCAAGACCTTGAGGGAACCACAGGACCACCCTGGGAAGAGAGAAAGACAGAACCAATACTTCTGCCAAGCTGCAGCTTAAAAAGACACCTGGCATGTAGTTTATTTAGCATCTTATGGGAAGTTTGGGCCAGAGAAGGTGCTACTTTGAACACACTATGGTTACTACACCCTCACTGCTCAGCGTGCCAGTGAGGGGCTGGTGGTTTAGGGAAAAGGCACCACCACGTAGATTTGGACATGCCCCGGGGCACCGGGGCCAGCATGCTGTGGCAGGACAGGCCTGCATGGGGCCATGCGCAGGGGCTTCAGAGGGCCAGAGGAAGGGATGTGTGCTGACCTGGCAGGCTGCCCACAGAAGGCCTGGTGCCTGCATGCACACTGGGGCTCTGTTGAGGGCTGGGTCCCAAAGGCCCTCAGTGGGATCCCTCAGGGCCACCTTGGGCTTTTGCTGCTGAGAGGGGCAGAGAACGCGTGTTCCTGGAGCCTGGAGTGGGAGAGGGTACTGCATGGGGGTGGGGAGAGCCCCTGGGGGAGGCATCTCCTCTCTTGCTGGCAGCCCCAGTGCTCAAAGGCTCACCCACACTGTGTAACAGTCTCTGCACTGTGTGACAGTACTCTAGACTGTACATCCCATTGTGGTGCGTGTGTACTGCGTGTGGCAGTGGTATGTGTGTGGCGATTGCATGTGGTATATGCTGTGGTTTATGTGGTGTGTCGTGTGGGTGTGAGTGCTGTGTGTGCTGTATAAATGTGAGGGGTGATATGCATGTGCTATGCGCACATGGTATATGTACCACGTGTGTTGTGTTCATGTGTCATACATGTGAGGTGTGTGACATGTATATTTGTAGTCAATGCTGTGTGCTGTGTGTGTGGTGTGTTTACATGTTATGCCTGTTTTGTTACGTGCACACAATGTGTTGGTGGTGGTATGTGTGCAGGAAGTGTGTGTGTGTGTATGACTGTGTATGCGGTATGTGTGTATGACTGTGAAGTTTTCATTTGCAGCCTGAGCTGGCTGGGGCGCACACAGAGCTGGGCCCCTGGTCTGGCTCCTCAGTGGATGTGGGCTCCCGCTCTTGAGGGGCATGGGCTGTGTCAGGCTCCCTACACCAAGGCAGGTCTTGCCTGGGGAATTAGGCTCAATGGGACGAGGGAAGGTCCCCAGGGGGCAACTCTTCTGGGGACACACACACCAGGAGGGTCTCAGTTCCCGTCTGAGCCTCCCAGAGCCCAGGAGACTCGTGGCCTTGGGGGCTGCAGGTCAGGCACCTGGAGCAGCGTGCTGGTGGGAGACTCTCAGTGACAGCCCTGCTGCTCGCATCTGTGGGTGGTAGGGGTCCTGCAGTCATTATTGGGGGAACCTCACATCCGTTGGCTTCCACCCTTGCTGTCACCTCTCAAGTCCCACAGAACTCCTGAATGGAAATACCTGTATTAACAGCAGGCACCCTTGGGTCTTCAACAGGTGGTGTAAAGCAGCATGGAGCCGGCACACTTTGCTAGCTGATGAGGAGGTCAAGTGTGCCTACGGGGACACCAGGCAGCAGGGACCCCAGCACAGAACAGTCCTGTCCCTTGGGGTGTTTCTCCACGCACCCCAGTCACAGGCACCTCTGCCCAGCACCCACAGTCTGTGCAGAGCCACCAGCAGCCACGCGAGTTGGTTTCCAGTCAACTGGCTGCTCAGAAGCTGGCGAGCACATTCAACATGGAGCCAGCAGCAGCTCAGCCCTTAGCAGCTCCTCAGTGTTTGTTTAAACTCAAAAAGGGAGAAAAACTGGATTTGCTTTTCCTCCACAGGAACTTCATTCCTCCCATTGGGGGAGGAAGGAGTCACCCAGTCTCTAACCCATGCTGGGTTGCTCCGTAGCTACCAGTTCCTCAGCTGAACAGACTGGTACCAGGGGCACGCTGCAAAGCGGTTTGGCTGACATCCCATGGAACCTCGTCTTACGTGGGGCCTCGTCTACGGCACATTCGCTGGGCTCAATATCTTCTGCATTTAAGCATGACTAAGCAAATCATCACTTCTCTGGAGGCTCTGAAGTTATGCCACATATCAAACCCAGCGTGTTAGCAGAGCAGGAGTCACCCTATGTAGCAGTGGCTTTTGGGCCTGCCCAGCCCGCATGCGCACCGCCATGCCCACTTGTTGGGAGCTTCTAGGATGAGCAGGTATGACAAAGACCACCCTGTGGCCACAAAGCCTCAAATCGTTAATATTTGGACCTTTGGAAAAGGTTGGGTAAGCCCTGCCGGCCAGAGGACCAGCTCCAAGCTAACTTAGTTTCACTGCAGGTCAGCTTGGCTGAGGGACGCAGTTAGGAGGGCATGCACGTGAAGGATGCTCCACCCCCAGACAGATGCCCCACTCACCTGTAGCCTGGCAGAAGAGGTGGAAGGTCCCCAAGGCACGCACATGTTGTGCCTGGTCGCTGAGCAAGGGTGGCAGGAAGGCGACCCGTGGGCTGCTGTCAGGCCCCAAGCCTGAGGTTGGCCAAGGGCTTCGGGGAGAAGATGAGCCAGGGCCCACACAGGACAGGGAGGAGGACCCCAGAGGAGGGAAGGGCATAGGAGCAGAGGCTGGAGACAGAGGACAGAAAGAAAGAGGCACTGAGGAGAGGTTGACAGGAACACGCACATGCCAAGAAGGGGAACAAGTGCAAGAAAAGTAAGCGCTCCCGGCTGTCCCGGCTCCACCTCTACTGCGGCCCAGTCCTGCCTGTAACACTCCAGCCCCACCAGGAATACCCTGTGGGAGCAACGTCCAATGCCTCAGCAAATCACATGCCACGTCAAGGATATAAGTGTCTCATTTATTCATTTACTTTCCAAATGTATACAATTCCAAGTAGAAAAATAAAAACAAAGTAAATCTTATAAAACACAAATGTTTACACCTAAACGGTTGAATCCTATCATGCTGGAAGATGAGACTGTCCAGACGGGCACACAAAATTCCAGTTTATTGCTCCTTGCCACAGACAAAAAGGCTCCTCTTCTGGGAATTAGGAAAGCGAGAGGTCGAAGTGGGTCCTGGGAAAGCCCCGTGTGCAGCTCTGGAGCAGGTGCTGGGGAGCAGGTCAGCAGTGTGGCCTCTGCAGGTGCTGTGGGCACAGGCTTGAGCTGCAGCTCTGGCTAGTTGTTTTCCAGCTATGGACAGCAAAGGCAGCCCAAGTGGGAAGTCTGGGCAGGCAGTGGTGTGCGGTGGAAGCCATAAGAGCAAGGTGAGGTTGGAGGACCAGGATCCTCTGGGTGACATCTTGGCTGTCAGCATGGGAGGATTTCTGGCCGGGACGTCAGACTTGTGAGCTGCTTGTTCCCAGATACTGGCTCAGCCTGGCTCCAGCAAGCTGGCCAGGCTTTCTCCCTTGCTCTGCCCCACCTGGTGCAAATGGACAGTCCCCCACTGCCTTCTCCTCTTCTAAAGAGTCAAAACCAACATAGAAGAAGTACAGAAAGAAAATCTCTCTGAAAATGAAGTTTCCCTCAAGGAATGAAACTAAAAAAAAATTAAGTATGGTCAAGAGATGGTGTTGTCTACATTTCTATAAGCAGAAAGAACGCATTTAGCAAAAATAAGTTTATCCCTGAGAATCTGAAGCAACGTAAATCATATCTTATCCTAATAGAAACAAAACCCAGAATAAAGTCCATCTTCTAAATATTAAACCATCTGCTTCAGTAATTTAAAAAAAAAAAAAAAAAAAAACAATGACCTAACAGACAGACCAACACAATTATAGCCAAATCCTAAAACAATCACGTGAAAGAAAAAAAGGTTTGTGCCCATCTGGACAACAGGAGATAAGTTACCAATCTGATAAACTAAAACGTCATTTCCAATCTGGAATTAAATTATCTTTCAGTGGCTGCTATGGGGAGGAAGGGGGTTGGAGCATGAGTCTTCCCAGGCCAACAGCAGTCCAGCCAGCCCCTCCACCGCACAGGTCACTCAGCCAGCACCACTGCCTGCAGGACCTCGGACAGCGCTCCAAACAGCCAGGGGGCCGGGGGTGTTCTCGCCATTTTTCCAAAAAGACAGAGATACCAAGTCACAAGCTCGACCCAAGAGAAGAGACACAGAAGACTGAGGTTTGCTGACACAGGCTACCCTACACAGCACTGGACGAGGTCACGGGACTGCGAACACAAAGACCTATCCGTGGGCGGGGCACTCAGTCCCCGTCCGCGTCGGAGTCGGCAAACTTCAGCTCACACTTGACATCGAATGGCCTGTCCTTGACCGGCAGGTCGTCAAGTCTCTGCGAGTCCTCCCTGTCGGTGGGCACTCTGCTGGCCATGGTGTCCTGTTCTGTCTCGTAGCCAGTGTCCAGGGCCGGCTTGGGCTGCCCTCCATTCTGCTGTGAGAAGCTGCCCTGCTCCACCAGGGTCTCCTTCACGCTCTGCTCGCAGTCCGAGAAGTCGGACGTGGGCTTCTTCTTGCCCAGCAGCACGGCAGAGCGGAATTTTAAGCACTGTGCCGGCAGGTAGCCCTTGTAGCAGTTGTAGGAGAAGAGGCACAGGCAGAGGAGGAAGAAGAAAAGAAAGAGCAGCATGAGGAGGCGGTTGTCACTGGACTTGAGATACAGCGTCTTCTCCGAGTGCAACTGGGGGACCGTGTTGATGACAATCTGGGGCTCACAGGACGTGCTGGTGGGTGTGGGGCTGGAGGGTAGGGCGGCGGCACCGGGTGAAGGGTCCCGCACAGCCGGGGTCTGGGGATGGGAGCCCTGGGTGGGCCCCGCTGACTCTCTGGGGATGAGCCTACTGCTTTCGGTCTGGATGGCCGGTGAGGTGGACAGCGTTGGGGTCCTCGAGACCACCTTGACCTCCAGAACGTGCTTGGCCACCAGCTGCAAGACCGTCTTGTTCCTGACCTTCTCCTCTGACAGGCATTGGTACACCCCACTGTCCCCCTCCGACAGGTTGAAGATGAGCAAGTTCTTCCTTCCCACCAGGCTGTACTTGGGGCTTTCGAAAGTGAGCACACCATTCTGGAACTTCCACACCACCCGCGCCAGGTTGGACTTTTGGGAGCATTTGAGTTCTGCCGTGCCACCGTGCTTGAAAAAATGCTGCCGGTACGGCTCTTTAACTTTATCTGGAACATCAAAATAAATGTGCACAGTGTGAACAACCCCGCTTGCCATTTCACTTCCTTTAAAACTAGGTAAATATGCACAAGAAGACATAAGAGGTTCCACCCCCTGGAGCAACATGGAATCTTCCAGAACAAGTAAGGTGATAAAAACATGCGTGACTGAAAAGCAAAGATGAGCCCTGGGTGGCAGCGCATGGGGATAAGGAAGCTGGAGGCAGCTCTGAGCAACGGAAATCCCATATGTCTCCCTGGTATCCTGAGAGAAACTCATAGGGTATGGGGGCGGGTGGGGGAGGGAGGTTAAGGGTGCAGTTGGGGGCATCACTGAGTCAAGCATGACAGGCGTCCCTAGTGGCCCCGGGCCACATCAGCCTCTCAGTCCTCAGCCTGGCTTAACCAATGACAGCTATTGGGTCAGGGATGGGAATACGAGTCCAGGGGTGCATCTGTCCACAGTGGGGATACCCCAACTTTCCCAGAGGTAGAGGGGAATGAGGATTGACTGTTCCTGAGCTCCATTCCCCCGTTCATGGTTTGGGTTTTGTGGAACAAGCCCCGTGCTAAGCAAAGAGAGATGCAGCTCGAGAGTGGATGTGACAGTTTTGAGCAGAGAGGGCTTTGCAGTGAACACACAGGCTACATGACTCCACACATTCTTCTCTGCAAGAAAGGGGTGCAGAAAGATCATGGGTCTGGCACAGAAACTTGACCTCTGTTCTGAGAAAGGAAAGCAAAATACAGGTCACAACACCAAAGCATCGTGAGATGGTTACTCGACCTTGCTGGCCTGTAAGGCAGCAGAGGGAGAAGGAGCCACTTACCGGGGCAGGCGGACACATCCCCGCTCATTTCCTGGACGAAAGACTCCCTGCAAGACAAAAGGCACAGAGGTCACGCATGCAGTGTTTTCCCTTGGGGAGGAGGTACGTCCACCAGCAAAACCCCGGTGGGTACCTGGTGGGGCTGTCAATTTCATGCAGGGTGACGCAGGAGGCTGTGGCGGGGCTCCAGGCGCAGTAGGGGTCCCGGGCCAGCACGCAGTCCTGGCAGGTCCCATGCTTTCCACAGAAGGCCACTGGGGCCTGGACCACGCCTGAATTGGAGCCGGCGTAGATGAAACTTCTGCCCTGTGAGTGTGGAACAGATGTGAAGGGTGGGCCTGGGGCAGTCACAAGCAGTAAGGTGACAAAGTATCTTTCTCACTACGTGGAGGAGGAAAAGCCTCCTTACCTGGAAATGGAGCAAGGCTGGGCAGACCCAGATAAGCCAGAATGAACAACAACGTGAGAAGAAGCAGTGCATGGCTTCTTCTCGGAATCTGCACGTTGGCGCAGGGCACCAGGCCTGGTCACAATCCCTCCCTCCATCTCCTTGGCCACCAGAGTGCCTCCCTTCCTGCTCTTCTTTAGCGAAAGGCACTCTCAGATGCCTCCCTGCGAGGGAGAGCCACTGGCCCTGATGTCCTGGGCCTCACTCCAACCAGAGGCTGAAGGGCACAACCTCAGAACCCAATGTCCTGCCTGAACGGAGGGCACTGGTGTGCATACTACAGCTGTCACCAGGCTCTGAATCCAGCAGGGGCTGCTGTGAGGGTTACGCTAACAGGACGAGGGTGGGGAGTGGACACGATGCTTATAATGGACATTCACTGACCATCACCCACAAGGAAAGAATACGCAGGCAGGGACGTGGGCGTCCACGCTCAGAAGCAGATAGCAGAGCAGCTGGTCCAGGCAGGTTGAAAGGCTGCCTCTTTCTTCAGTGAACCAGGCCCCAGAACCGCCTCAGTGGACTCAGTGATGGCCATCGTGGACTCAGCATCTACTTCCTTTGCCTGGGAGCCTCCCTTCCCACCTCAAAGTCCTACAAGGACCTCTTGGTTAACATCAAAAGATTCCCAAGTTCACAAAGAACTCAGTATTTTAGATTCAGACGAGACATAGTCTTTATCCTTAGAGGACGTGTTCAGGGTCAGCTGGAGCTCAGGTTCCTACTGTCCCCCAACATCTCCTGGCCTGTGATGCACAGTCCCCAGGTCACAAGCCCACCTGAGCACAAACAGCAGAGGAAGGAAGTCCCCTCTGCAACGTCAGCACCTGCAAAGCTCAGCATCCACTAGGGAGGCCTTGCGGGCTAGCCATAGCACCTCGCACGACAACAACAGACCAGCCCGACGGCCCCCAGAGCCTCACTCACTTGCTCTCTGCCTTATAGGAGACATTTGGGACCATGACATAGGAGAAAGCACCTCAAAGACATGACACTCTCTGCTCAGAGGTGGGGTTCTCAACCCTGACCATTCACTTCCCCACACTGTGTTAACACCACACCTGCTGATGGGGTCTTAGCCTTGTCAAGCTTGGGTACAAGAAGGTGTTGTCACAGGGCAGCGTGCCTCCCACAGCTTGGCAGGTTGGCTCAACAAACTCGGGTAAGTCCTGCCAACTCTAATTTAGAGGAGGCACAGCTCCCAGGTTTGCTTGCGTTTAGCCCAAACTCCACACTCGACCACTCAGAGAACAACTTTGAGAGCCAGAGGGTCGCTCTTCTGGGCCACATGGAGCAAGGGGTGTCTACCCCAGCTGGTGTTCACCACAGGCCACACTTCCCATCCCGGTCACCTGCCTTCTTGGAGGAGAGCAGCAGGGTCTGGATGGGCTCTAAGTCCTGGAAGAGCTGTGTCTCTTCAATGATGTGGACGTCACTGCCCAGGCTGACGGCCTTGTGCAGGGCACCCTGGTCTGCAAGGTCAAAGCACAGGTCAGTGATGCGCCTGTAGGTGGGGATAGTGCTGGCACTTCCGGTCACAGCAGTAAATGGTCCCCCTTCTCAACTCACTCCCTCAACAAGATACTCAGTAAGAGATGACACTTTTACATTAGAAATAGAAAAGGAGTGGTCCTTGGCAAAATAAACAACTGGAAACCTCAATGGAAAATTAACGTACCATTGTTAACTCCACAACCCTTTCAACAAAGCCAACACTGTACCATCTGGCTCAAACTGGTGGCATTTCTTAGGCTCCACCAGCCCTCTGGGGGTGTCATCCCATGCGGGGCCCCAGGCAGGGGAGCACGGGCCCTCTGTCTTGCTAGAGGCACTGCCAGAAAGCAGCAGTGCCCCGTCAGCTGCTGCACCCAGCCCAGCCACCACCCTCATCCTAGAGGCTTGTTTTGAAGCCACAGGCTACCAGGAAGTTATGCCTCCCTGACAGGTCAGGGCAGGTCTGCAACCTGGCTGTTGGTGTGCTCACCTGCAGCTGTGCGCGGGGGGGGGGGGGGGGGGGGGGGGGGGGCCACCTGGGCTCCCTCTGCACCAGACCAGACCCACCAGACCTGAACTTCCGGTTTTGAGCCAGGGCTTGAAGCTGAGCCAGTGCCCAGGTGGTCTGAAGGTCACAGAGATCTGAAGCCACCCAGGTGTGGCCACCTCTCAGGAATCCTTCTACTTGCTAGTTAAGAAGCTGCTGGGGGTACATGGGGAGGTGCTGGCTCCTCACAGCAGACTGAGTTGACTTTCCTGGGGTTCCTACCACAGGCCAGGACCCACCTGTGCTGAGAAACATGACATCGTAGTGAGTCCCATCCAGGGCCTTGGTCCTGTCCACCACGATCTGAGTGTAGTTCACATCACTCTTGATGAGCCGGGGCTTGTTATCTGCAGGGGTCACGGAGTCATCCATCAGAGGGTGGTCTTTGACAAACTGCAGGGTCTTGTCTGGGAGGTTCAGAGAGCTGGAGAAGTTGGCTGCACGTGCCGCATGGTTGATGCACTGCAGGGACAGACCATCATGTCAGCGGCTCATCCTGAGCTGGGCACACTAGCTGGGGCCCAGGGAGCTGCAAAATTTGGGGATTACATGTGATTTCTTGAAAAAGGGGAAAAACTGAGGTGACCTTCTCCCAGGAATCTGAAGGTGCTTCGAAAGTATTTGGAAATGGTCTATCTGTAAGATATGCTTGTATTTCATGACAGTGAAGTACTCTCTCCATTCATGCATCAAAAAAAATGAATCAAGCTCTTGGAATTAAAAGTAAACATGAACCACACTCAACAGCCTTCTGTGAGAAGATTGTTAAAGTTGCTAAAAACAGCCTAATTCTGAACAGCTTAACAGAGCATGAAGAATTCTTTTCTTCAGCCCTTGCTCCCTGATGTGTGTGAACTCACGAGCACAAGTGAGCAAAGTCTTACTCAGCAATCAGCATGGACAGAATGAGGGCCAGGGTCAGCCGTGCACCCTCATGGAGGGGAGTCCCTGCCGGGGAGCGAGCCCCAAGGACCAGCTACTCTGCTGGGGTGACGGCCCCACACCAGCCCCAGAATGGACAGAAGCCACCCAACCGGCCTAGAAATTCGCACCAATTTCAATGGAAAATTCTCTAATTTTAGGAAGAAAAAATGTGACTCATAGTGAGGATCAGACAGTATAGCTGATCCAAACACAGAGGCCTTTGCCAAGAAATCGTGTGTTTCTCTGCAGAAGCAGAAAATGAAACAGACCTAATTATGTTAAGTAATGCCAACTTCACAAATACCCCATGCAGCCAGGGCAGGCTTCTGGTCTGGGCAGAATGTGGCAACAACAGCTATTACACAACTCGTAAATGAGCAGAACTCAGAAGGAGTGGGGTGTGCTCACAGCCCCGGGGTGACGCCTACTCCCCATGGACTTGGCCCAGCACTCCATAAGCACAGGGACACCGCAGGGCCATCACCAAACCCTCTGGCCACGCTCGGGCCCCACTCACCGCCCCGGGCCTCGGTGTGGGCACGGGCCCGTTGTAGCGCACCCACTTGGTGTGGGACTGCTCCACCGTGGCGCTCTGCATGTACTTCCCGCGGGAGAAGACCGCCTCCACCGTGGACAGGTTGTAGGCACACACCGCCGACAGCCCCACGTTGTTCCTGGAGAAGAAGGGGTCACTTGAGTGCCCAAGGGGGTGGAATGTAGGCAACACCTTCCTCACACACCCGCCTGTGGAGTGAAGCACTCACAGCTGTGGGGTGAAGACCCCGTAGAACACGGGTTCCTTCAGTTCCGGAGACTTGAGGATGAAGACGTCCCGCAGTATGTTGAAGACCAGGCTGCTGTCCGGTCTGGCGCATATCAGCCTGGCCTTCAGGAACGATGTCCACTTCTTCTGCAAGGTCCTCAGGCCGCCCTGGTCCCCCTGAAATCCCAAAGATACATGTGGTCTAGGAGGGCAGGCAGTGGCCTGCAGTGTCAGCATTGTGGCTAGGTCAACCCCAAGCTGGCTGTGCCTGAATGAAATGCAGCCGAGGCTGAAAGAGAAAGCAGACTGCAGACAGCCACGTGGCCCATGTACTGTGTCCACGTCGGCTCAGATCCTGCGCGTTGTATGGATGAAAACACAAACCCAGCACACAAACTCTTGATGAAAAATCATTAACTGCACCTACAGCTGTCCAGTCCTGCCCCAGTTGCACGGCAGCAGGTGGGCTGCTGTCCTCCCTGTCACAGCTTAACCCCCTGGCCTGTGTGCATCTGGCTCATGACCAACAGAGAGCAAACCCTGAGCCAGGCTGGCACACTCATGACCCCCAGGCCAGCCCAGCCAGTGTGGGTCTATCTCCCCAAAAGGCATTCCTCGTGGAACATTAGATCTTTCTTTCTTCTCCCCCAAGTTATCTGCTTGGGACATACCAGGAGAGCTGGTGGTGGTCAGGAGAGCTGACCACCAAGAGAAAGTGTAAAACATATGACTTGGTCTGCAGGAGAGACTGTGAAATCTGAAAGCAAAAGAATATAAAATTGAAGCATCCTTGTTCATTTTGGACACTGTGAAAACAAGCCCTCTCCATCTGTACAACGGGGTGGTGAGAACCGGTTCCAGTTTCAGCAGAATTTGGCTAATAGAGGGGAACAAAGCTAACAAGTTGGGGGAGGCTTGAGGGAGGCATGTTAAAAATGGGCCTCCAGTCACACATGGGGTGCCAAGACCCCCTCGGCCCCCAGGGAGACCACAGCCTTCTGAGGAGGTTGGCCTCGCTCCTGGCAGGCCCCCATCTGCACTGACATGTGGAACAAAAGAATGAAGTGGTAGATGGACATTTCAGAGCAAGCCGGAGCCTGGGCCAAGGGACTCATCTTTCAGACATGATCAATGCAAAGCTGGACCAGAAAGGAACTGGGGGAGCAGGCCTACCTTGCACACCCTCGCTACTCTCGGGATCAGCAGTTTGAAGACAAACTCATACTCTACAGACACCTCAGTGAAGAAGAAGTAGACCCTGTCATCCCCGCCATCGGCACTCTCTGGGCTCTCCCGGATCACGTCAGCAAAGACGAAGCTGGGCTCTGCAGGGAAGAGACACCCTGATTACTGCATGGAGGGGTCTAACATCCTTGCAAGCATGGCACACCCCACACCCCAGTGTCCTGAGTGCCAACAGCATGGAGTCCCAGATGGTGCCCATGCTCTCCCCTCTCAGCCTTAGGTATCTGTCATAGGGTTCTGCCATCTGCCCTCCCTCCCTCCCAGTTCACCCCAAGCACCCAGCCTGGGAACCCTGGGAGCCGGAGCTCACCATGCTTCAAACTGACAAACTCTGACCTCCAGATCCCAAAAGCTCTGGCTGCCCGCTGCCCAGCGCTGAGGACAACAGCTGTCCCCATGTCCCATGTCACCCATCTTCGAGTGTCCGGGTGGATTAAAAGCCCAGGGCCCTGGCTGGCACCCATGAGAAAAGTCCTCAGTGCACAGCTCGAGCCACCTCCCCCAGGAACCCTACACAGACACGCCCTCAGAGCTGATCTGGTTAGGCTCCCGGGCACACAGGCGAGGGCCTCTGCACCTTGATGTCACTCGGGACACAAGGCGGCCTGCCCTAGCCTGAGCTACATTCTCCCTTTGTGAGTCTCCCTGATCCTGTGCCTCTTAGCAGAGAAGAGAAAGAAGCCCTGGACAATAGCTGCCCTGTGCCCGTGGGCAGCCCTGGCTGCAGACGCCCTCGCACGAGGCTGGGAGACAGCAGGGGAAGTACAGTGGGGTGTGAGGACGGAGCCACCACAGGGCAAGACACACCTTCCTGCAGCTGCTGGGCCACTTACCATTAAGCCAAGGTATCGCATATTCTGTTCTCAGGGGACTGTGTGAAGAATGTCGGGAGATGATGGGTTCGCTTCCCAGAAAGTTATACGATGTCCCAGAATAAAGATCGCCATCTTCAGCAGCCCAGGAGGAAAGAGGAAAAGGGAATTAGCACCAGCTGTGGGGGGTGGGGGGGGAGACTGTGAACCAGCCACGAGCCCCCCTGGGCAACGGAGAGACCACCACCTGCCCCAGGACGCACTTTTCTGCTTCTGGAATCTTCCCTTTCATTTCCTTGACATACATGATTTTATGCTCCATGTTCAGCTGTATTTTGTGAGAGCTGGGGCAATAACTAAGATGAGCCAGTCACTCCAGGCCGTAATAAAATAGTGAATCTAAAGTGGGTATTCACGGGCCTGTGGCCTGCTCGCCCCAGCTGCCCGGACATTCTAAGGTAGGATGCAGCTCCCCACAGACTCCCCTCAAAATAAGTATATACTCAACAGGCCCAATAACTGGAGGATTTTCACAAATGATGAATTTAACATAACCTCCCGCAAATCTAACCGGCGGACTGTAGAAGTGCCTGGCAGCCTAGAGAGTCATGTGTTCAAAATGGAGGGTCCAGGGAGGTCATGTGTGAGGATGGTGAATAGGGAAAGGAAGCAGAGGGAGGGCTGCTGAGGGGGACGGGGACCAAGCTCCCTGCCATGCCCTTAACAGATACCACAACTGCGTGCGACTCACCAACCATGACCGACGTGTAACTCTGAGCCGGGTCAAAGGGACACCTGCCTTTGCCATCTTCATTTCTCCCCAGAAATGTAAAGGATGTTAAGTTCTACAATGGAATAAAAGAGAATATCACAATGTGCCTGAATCTCAGAAGTAGTGTGCAGAAACTCGACTTTGGTGGTGACGGCCACGTGGTGTGTAAAGATTGCTCACCGGAAATCTACGCAGTGTTACAAGCCAACGTTACTTCAGTTTAAAAAACACAGCCTTCCTGGTGGCGCAACCTGTTGCGCCACCAGGGAGGCCCTGCTTAAGTCTCAGCACTATGAAGCTATCAGTAGCCACCGCAGCACAAGTTCGATCCCCAGCCAGGGAGCTACCCACATGGCACAGCAGACCTCTCCTGCCTCTCCCGCTGCTCCCCTCAGCAGTGTATTTCAGTAGATCTGCCTGTTCTGCTCCCCACTCTGTCTCTGGTGAATCCTCTCACCACCCACACCTCTGGCCTGCACCACAGCTCTTGTATGCATAAATAAATCAAATAAATCTTTGAAAAACAGCTGTGTGCATGTGCCATGTCACCACTCCTGGGAGGGGCAGATTCCAGGAACTTTGGGTCAGTGGGTGACTGGACACCACCGGGTGGTGACATCCCAAGCCAACCCAGCCAGCTCAGGTTGCTGTGGAGCAACCACAACAGGCAGATTCAAGCACGACATTGTGTCTCAGTCTGGAAGCCGGGGGTGGGGACGGGGAGCTTCAGGGCCAGCAGCTGAGGCCCCCTCCCTGACTTGCGGGTGGCGCCTTTCACTGTTGTCCTTACATGGCGAAGAGCGCTCTGGAGTCTCTTCCCTCCTATCCAGGCACCAGCCCCACTGGATCAGGGCCTTGCACTATAGCCTCACACTATGGCCTGTCACCTTTATCACCTCCTCACCTTTATCACCATCTCAGATACTGTCACAGGAGGTTATGGTTTCAGCATATGAATCTGGGGGAGTCACATTCAGCTTATAACACACATGAACCAAGAACACACAATCCAGGAGGAGCAGACCATAGCTAGGCCTCTCCCATGAAACACGGATAGCATGACGACAAGGAAGCACGTGCAGGACCCGGGCACACCAGTGCTTCTCCCAAAGGCCCCCAGCTGCTCTGACCACAGAAGGTTGGTCCCAGGAGTCCTCCCCTGGGCCACACCCTCAGTTATGGAGGTTTGCATGCAGGACCCCAGGCTCGGGTCCAGTGAGGCAGCAGTGGGCATTCTGAGGAGCTCAAGCTGCCCCTTCCCAGAGGCACAAGATCCTTGGTCATGTAGAGCAGAGGCCACAGCGGCCAACCCTCACATGGCTTCTCCAGCCAGGGTGCTGCCCGAGCTCACCAGGTGGTCACAGGTGGGCTGGAAAGCGTTGGTCCCACACACATAGAGGGCGTTGGCGCTGAGCGGCTGCAGCACTCGGATGTAGTTGAGGCATTCTGTCTACAAGGGAGGGAAATGCGCTGTCAGCCCCTGACACCCCACTCTCCCAGCTGTCAAGCCTGTTCACTTCAGATCCGGCCAGGCAGGTGTGCCGCACTGACCTGTCTCTGGTGTGTACCCCATCCTCCTCTGCCCTCCTAGGCTCCCTTTACCACACACTTGACTGCCCCCCAGCGCATAGGGACAGGCTGAGAGATCCACTTCAGCCCTGGACACACCAAAAGCTGCGGCTAGCCTGGGTGCAAGTGATATCATGCAGTTACTTCTACCCAGCAACTATCTGTTGGCCAAAAAGCATGCCAGTTGACCTCTAATCTTTCTGGAAACACCCACAGTAGAAAATAACATCTTACTTTCCCTGAACATACCAACTTCCACGCTGCCAGAGTCAGAGGCTGCACACTATGCAGGGTCCCCCTGTCCTTTTTAGAGGGATCCCACTCTCCATGCCCTCATGCATAGAGCTGGGGAGACTGTTTCTCAGGATGGGGGTGTGTCTGGCCCACCCCACTCAGGTTGGGGGAAGCCAGGTAAGTGAGGGGCTGCGAGCCTGAGGCTGGCTTCCCATCAGGATGGCCCGACAGAACAGCAGCTGCCACGCAGGCACTGTTCACTCTTCCAATGAGACACAACACTTGGGTTTTCTGTTGTATAGTCTGAAATTATCTCTGCTCAGGTTTTTTTTTTGTTGTTGCTGTTGTTTTTTGCTATAACTGTTTTTAAACTGGCTGGCAGTAACTCATCATCCACCTCCCCCACAAGAACTGGGAGGCCCCTGTCCAGGCCCATGTGGGGCCGGCAAAGTTCTTGGTCTACTTTTGCTGGAAGACAACTCCCAGCATGACCTGTTATTACATTGCAATGCCAGCATTTTTTTCTCATTTCCTAAAGTAACTTTGGACTTAGGGATTTAGTGAAAGCGTTTAGCACTCTGCTAAGAAAGTTCAGCAAAAAGAATTTTAAGAACCTTTTTTTCATTCTTTTGAAAATTAGCCAATTGTAATTAGCTGAAATTTACCATAAGCTGTTGTTCTGACCAACTATCAAGGAACTTGGGGCTCTTATACCCAGAGAAGCTGACATGGGCCCAGCTCAGTTGGGGGCATACTGGCCCAATGCTCAGTGCAGGGGCCCAGAGCTCTGGAGGGGTGGACACTCAGCCAGTGCTCCCTGAGGGTCTCCAAAACCAAGGTGCCCGACTTCTAGAGCAGGAAATCTCAAGGGATGGGGGTTGCCACAAATCAAGAAATCCTACAGCAATTCTTCAAGGTCTAAGGCTGTTGGGGTGTTGAGGAGCCATGAACCCTACATTTTACATCTGTAGGTGGCAGGGGACACCAATTGTTTTCTGTAGTCAAAGTTTAGGCCATCTGAATAAATTCAGTTCAGTTCAACTTTAGAAAGTTGAACTTTCTATTTCTCACTTGCCTAACTTTATCTGGCACTCGTTTTGAGGGACACCACCTCCCTGCGGGGGACGGAGGAGCAGGACCCTGCAAGATGGGCCCTAGCATGGTCAAGCCTGCACCATGCAGCCCGCAGGCATCTCAGATGCAGCAGCCTCGCAATGCTGAAATAACTAGGACATTCCCGTGACAGGCTTCTGTAGTTTGCAAAAGAAATTACCTGTTTGGACTTTCCCTTCTCTGCACATCTTGCTTGTTTATCTTCTGAGACCTTCCAGTATGCCTGTTGGGATGAGTGAGAGTCCATTTCAGTGCATGTCTGCCCTTGAGGAGGAGACACTAGAATAAAAGATGCTCAGTTCACAGAGCATGTGATGGCAGGTAAAGCAGGTATTTCCCGACAGAGCAGTGGTTTCAGGAGCCTCATTGCACGCCCTCCACCCTGGAGGTTTGAGATTTTTCCATAATAAAACTTGATGCATAAAAGGTAAAATGAGGCTGGTCTCTGGGTGACCTAGGAGTTGGGGAAGACAAGGCTTTGGGGGACAGCCCCAGATGGGACTGTACACAGGGTGGGAAGAATTATTCTGGAAGATGGAGCCCCGGGAAGTGGGCAGGTGGGAGGCTATCCCCTGGACACAGGATATCTGCAGGCTGGCCATGGGGCCAAGACAGCCTGATCCCAGGGAGGGGCCAGTGTCCTGCCATGAACCAGCAGCCGGGGAGTAGGGAGCCCATGTCCTACCTCATGCTGCTTCTTGGAGATGTTCAGGGCGCTCACAGCAAACACAGCTTCCCGGGCACCCACATACAATGTGTCCCTGTCCTCGCTGAGCAGCAGGGCTGAGTAGTTGAAAATGCCTGGCTCATGGAACTGCACCAACTGCACCTCTGGGGGGAGAGTTAGCATCAGGCACCCCTGAGGCCAGACATACCCTGTGTGTGGACTCATTCCCTGCAGTGCCATGTCCCAAGCACCATGTATGGATCCTCTGCTACAGCCAGCTCCTTGGTAGAGTCGAGAACTCAAGCTCCTCTGGGTAGAGCAAACTCTACCCTACCCTCCCACCCTAAGACAGCCAACAAATGGGACCCAGAAGGCCAGAGCCCCATGCTGAGCAGAACACTGCCAAACTCCCCTCCCTACTCACTCCAGCCCACTCCAGTTCCAAACCTGCACACAGTGAGACCCCTCCAAAAGCATGACTCCGGAACAGAAGCCCTTAGTATACATGACCTTGCAGCAACGGGACAGAGCCTCCCAGCAAATGAACCCCCAAGAGTATGAGCCCCCAGGATGTGAGCTCCCCACACATGACCCCAAGAGAACGTGATTCACTTCCCCAAGGCATCTACAGGTCAGATACCTCCAAATGCTGACATTGGCTCCCTCTGCCTCCCATCAGACTCCTGTCTGTGCAGGTTTACTCATCCACAGACACGTAGTGCGTAAAGAACATAACTATTCAGGATCATCTTAGGAAAAAAGCGATTTACCTCTAAACCTTTAGAAACCCAATTTCAGTGACTATATGCCTCAATCCAGCGTTTTCAACAAAAAAATACCCAAAACTTACAAAACAGAAACAGGTGTTTTCCCCTCACTTGTTGGCTAATTGCATCAATAGCTATTTGGGAATATGAGCAATTTAACAAATAGTTACTTGGAACTAATGTAAATGCACCAGCACTACTTTTAAGGAGGTGTTTTTTTCTTTCCTCCAGCCCAGCATCAATTTGAGCGTGTTGAATTTGCTCTCCAATCTACTGGTTTTGTTTAAGGGTCAGTGCTGGGGCTCTCTGCTCCCCTCTCCCTGGTTGAGGTGGCTGACAAGGCCCTCCGCACCCACCATGTTCTGCAGCAGACAGCTCTCGGCTGCCAGTCCACCTTGCTCAGGACCAGAGGTATGTTCTGGGTCCTCCCTGAAGCCTGGGAGACCGGGGATCCAGGACCCCCAAGTCCCCCCAAATACAAACAGATGAAATGGACACAAATGAGCTGCAACTGAAACAAATGGCTGAAGATCAGTCCCACATACAACCCAATGTCTTCATGCTGTGGCCCGTTCTCAGGGGCCAGGCCACAAGCCAGGTGTGGGCTGTGCCTGGACATAGCCCCAGACCATCAGGCACAGGGCAGATAACTTTCCTTTCAGGGGTCCCCCTGACTCAGAAACTAAATCAGCAGGCCCCAAACAGTATGTGAGCATCTCCAGCTCTGGAAGCATCTCATGGGCAGCAGCGAGCCAGCCACCGCTCCAGCCAGAGTGGGAGGGACCCCAGCCAAGTGGGTGTGTGTAGTGCCTCTGCACTGGGCGTGCAGGCCACCATCCTCACCTCTGTGTCCCCAGGTGATCCTAGGCACAGGTGCAAAGGCCACTGCTGTCCCCAGCACCACGGCGAGCGCTAGGAGCTGCATCCTCATGGTCAGGGTCACAGCTGGAGGGCTTGGGCAGCAAACACTCCTGGGCAGGGGAGGCCGGGCAGCAGGGCACCCCTCAGAGCCCCTGCACAGGGACCAGCAGCACAGCTGGGAGCTGGTGCGCAGTATGACTCCCGAGGACCCGCATTTCCCAGCAATCCAGAAGGGTCTCTCTCACCACTGCAAATGTCAAGGGCCACCCTGTGGGCTTCTTAAATGGTGGCTTCTTTGTGGTCTTCAGAAGAAATACTGGAAGAAAGTAAAAGGAAGGGGTTACAAGCCAGACATGTGGTCACAGTGTCTGCTTTCTGTTTGCTCAGTGTTCCCCCACAGCTGCCTCCTCACATCCCTGGCCACCGACTCCAAGGGCACCGAGGGGGACAGTCCATGCAGACACACAGAGGAGTGGTGCCAGAATTAAGGGGTCGGTGCTCCCCACCCTCAGGCTAGCTGGGATCCAGACAGACATGGGGACAGGGCCCAGCATGGGCCAGGGACACTGAGGAATGGATACCCTGCACCCTCCCTGCAGGGCTGCTGAGTCTAGTGGGTAAGGCAATGGAAGGGAAGGAAGCAGAGTCGGGGTTTCAGTTTCCCTTGAGACTCCCAATTCCTGTAAAGCTCACTGAAAGGACAACCTGAGTAAAAGACCAGAGGCTGAAATGCACACCCATGCAACCTTCCTGTGAGCGGTGGCTGCCTTCCTGCAGGGAGTGGGGCTGCCCCCAATGGCCCTCTTCCTCTAGCCTCCCTGGAGAAGCCTGCAGGATGGGAACAGGGTCGTGGGCATTGAAGGTCCCTGGACAGCCATGCTGAACAGATAAATGTGAGGAAGGGGCTGCAGATCTCTCAACACCCAAACTCTGGCCCAGTCCTGGTCACCTGCCAGTCTGGGTCATCTAGAAGGTTCCTTAAAGTACATGCCAGACCAGGGAGGTACTTCTTCTGGCAGGGGAATACCAGGGATTTGACCCTAATGTGAGGGCATAGCCAGGATCCCAGCAAGACTGACAAGGAACCTTTCCCCACTTCTCAGGAAGGTGCTTACATCAAAAATGCCAGCCCATGCAGAGGTAGGCCCTTGCCCACAATGTTTGGAGAACGCAATTGAGATGCCACCCTTCACAGATGTACTGTCTTCAGGGAGGTCCCACATGGGGTCTATTGGGGCCCCATTGCATCCCTCACTGTTCCCTTTTCTACAAGATGGTCGAATAGCCTGGCCCCTCCCCACATGCCTTCCCTTATGTGGAAACCCCTGCAGTCCTCCCTGACTTACCTTCCTCTACCCCCATCAAGCCAACCACCTCCAGGTCTATCACCCTGGGCGTGTCTCTGGAACCTTCCTCTCATCCCCACCACTTCCTGACTTCACCTACCTCGGGGTGTCTGACAGGCAGCAGATCCCGCCCTCCCCAACAGTCCTCCCCCAGCTCAGCTTCCCAGGGCCCCCACAATCTACTGTCCACCAGCACCTGTCCAACTGCCTGCTGCTCCAGACACCTCAGGCCAAACCAAACCTCCCAAGAGAGTTTTGGGAGGAGCTGACTTCCTGTTCACTTAGTCAAGTCACTGCCCCAGGAAGCCTGCAAGGTGCCTTCCTCATCCTCCCCAGGTCTCTAAGCCCCTGGAATCTTGCTCTGGCCCCTAAAGCTTAGCAGACAGAATGGCTCAACCTAGGCAGCACTCTGGACTTAACAGGCTCTTCTGTATTTTTATTACTTGTGTGCACTGGCAACCCACTGATCCGTTCCACTCCACACAGGAAGGCCTCACTGGGGACTTGCCTCATGGGGAGATGCTGGTAAGAGAAGGGCTCTGGGCTTCACCTGCCAGCCCACCTTCCTTGCTGGGAGGCCCGCTGCACTTCCTCTTTCTGGCCTTAAGGCATGCTGGACAGGCTGCCCATCCACCCAGGGAGCTCCTTGCTTCCCCCAGGGACTGGCACATCCTGGGCGGAAATCACACCCCTCTTTCATAAAGGTGTTATTTTCAGCTTTGCTGGTCCTAGAGTCCCTTCGGCAGCTTGACAGCAGGCAGAGAGGACTCCTACATGAGTGAGCCTGGCCAGGTGCCAACACAACTATTTACAGAAACAGGCGCTGGTCTGCAAGTCAAGCCCTGCACTAGGGATCCATAGGGACAGTCAGTCCAGACGCCCCCACAACAAGGGCGTGACCCTAACTCTAAATGCAATACCAGATGCAATAGGGAGCCAGGAGGAGAAACTGGGAGGGGAAGAGGAGACAGCTTCTTCATGGAGTAAGGTGTGGGAGCTCTCTGCACAGAGCCAGCTCTCAGAAGCAGCCTCCATGTGGGAGACGAGGTACACACACACACACTGCCTTCACCCAGCCTGGGGCGAGGGGGCTGTCCTCCACCACCAATAGGGGAATGAGATATGAGGCGGCTCCTGTAATATGGGGCAGGTGAGTTCTCTTAAGCGGTGTATTCTGGATATGACCCACTCAAGCAATCCTATGGGGCGCCTGAATGTTAAGTACTCCCACAGAAATTCTATGCATTCGCCAGACACCGAGGCCCTGGGGAAGAGCTGCCTGTGAGAGGATGCTGAGAGCTCACTGAGTGCCAGATGCCCCACCTGCCTGTCCCCAGGCTCACTTCCACCACCAGCAGCCCCATCTAAGCAGCACGCACCTCCAGTCTTGCCTTCTCCCCAGCCTCCTGCCCCTTCCAGATCACTGGTTTCCTGCCTAGTATCCAAATCCTTTAATTCTCATTAGAGAAACTCGATTTTACTTGGGATAGCAGTGTGGTCACCTAAGCACACCCACCCACTCCCTGGAGGCAGTTCTGGCCAAAGAGTTGGAAACAAAGTTATTAGGTAGGAATTCCCAGAGAGCTCTTTAAAGGACACTGACTCAGCTACTATGTGATGTATGTATGTATGCATGTATTTATCTTTAGCCTTTCCTCTTTTTGCTTCCTGCAACTGAAATTTGATGGTTAGAGCTCTGGCAGCCACCTGAAAAGCATGAAGATAAGAGCAGCCAAGTGGAAACCCATAAGAGCCAGGGGCCCTGACAACACAGCAGAGATTATAAAAACCTGCTTTCTTTTGCCTACAAACTGTATTTGTTACCAGAAATCAAATACAACTCCCAACAAAGACAACCTCCCTATAAGACATTCACCAAACTTAGTGGCAGCCAGGAAATGTAAATTAGAACATACAATTTCTCTACATGAAATATTTCAGTACCATCTTATCACTCAGATTAAACCCCAAGTTTCCATCATGGCAACAGGATGATAGATGACCACAGTCCACATTCCACCCATGCCCCCTCTCTCATGCTACCTTCTCCAGCTTTGTTCCAGCCAGCCCGGACACATGGCGATTCAGCCACACCGGACACACGGTGACTCAGCCACACTGGACACACGGAGGCTCAGCCACACCGGACACACGGAGCCTGGCCACCAGCAAGGCTGTGCTCCTGCTGCCCGGCAACGCCATTCATTCAGAACGCGTATTTCCAAACACACCTGTCCCAGAGATCACAGGCACAATCTCATTAATTCACCTGAGAACACTTTTTCTCTGTAAGAATGATCAGTGACGGCAGTGACTCCTAAGTTCTCTTTTCTGAGCTCACAAACAGGCAAGGGGTGCCAGGACTGCTACACGTCAGAGCAGCCAGAGCAGCCAGATCAGCTGTTGCAGGGCTAGAAGGAGGGAGGGTGGGCAGGGGAAAGAGAAGGAGCTTTTAGCCCTCCAAGTGGGACTCTGAGGGGAGGCTGGGTGGGTGTGGGGACAAGGGTATATGGAAACTTTCCTTTCTGCTCCATGTTGTTGTGAATCCAAAATATATTTAAAAGTGATGTTTATATGTATATACACACATATATGTAAAAAAAAAAAATCAAAAAGCAACAACAAAAAACCACCAGCTCAAGGAGGTCCTTCCTGAGCACAGAAGCACCCTGTGGCCCCTGCAAGTGTGCTGACAGCCAGGGGGCGCTCTCTGGTTTCGAGGAAGAGGTGTGAGGCCATAGGGATGTTTCACTTCTGGCCACACTTCGGTGCAAGCTGAGTCTGCCAGACTGAAGTGGTAAGCAAGGGCCCCACGGCAAGAATGATCCTACTTAGGTCCCTGATCCAGGTCAATTCTCTGAGATGTCCGTGAAACACAGCGGCGGCCAGGCTTGGAACCAGATGTAGGGGACGGGAACTCCTTCTCTGGAAACCAGGCCCATATACACAGACTTCAACCAACTCTCCTCACACCCCACACAACGGCACCTGAACAGGATATAAACTCCAAGTAACAGCGGGAGAGAAGACGACAGTCCACAAGGTGAGAACAACCCATGAAGGGAGGAGGTGACTTTCTCTCAGAAGCTGTATAAGAGCCATTTCATCTAAAAATCATGTACATTAATTACTTAAGTTTTAAAAGTAATCAATGCTCTGGTTCCTTGCAGCCCGGAAGACACGGCTCAGTGGGGCAGAAGCAGCAGACGGGGCCACGCAGGGTAAAAGTAGGGCCATAGCCCAGGGGCTGCACAGGAGTTAGGGCTAATCAGCTGCCCAGAGGCCGGCACTCCGCCCTGCATACCTGGGCACAGGCTGCTCCCTCTTCCAGAAAGTTCGCCAGCAGCTCCTGGTGGCTGGCTCAGTCCCACAGTGACCCTGGCCCTAATACTGCCTCCTCACAGGTCACCCACCCCCACCTCCAGGTCCTTCCCGCTTTATTATTCTCATAGCCTAGGACCTGTGGATGTCTCTGTGACGGTCCCTTCTGGAGTAGAAGGGGGTACATTCTAGGTAGAGGACTAAGCCTGGGCTTGAGAGAGCCAGGTGAGACTCAGTGGCTCAAGTTTTCACAAACAAAATGCCCAGAGTGAACAACAGTTCACTCTGGGAAGGGGTTGGACAGGGCATTCAGTATGCAGCGCCAGGTGCCCCTGGACAGAGGTGCTGTGGGTCTCGGCAGAAGAAGGTGGAAGTGCTGCTCCTTTGGGAATAGCAGGAGCAGCTGCTGCTCTCACAGCTGCTCAGACTGCTTTTGGTGACAACACGTCCTTCCAAATCACCTAAGCCAGGACCAGCCCAACAAGGTTATTCAGGAGCCAGGCGGGGACTGAACCAGCCAAGCAGCACTGACTCCTTCCATTCCCCACCTCACCCAGCCAGGGACCACAGACGTGGGCACGTTCTTTCCACGGCAGCACATGCAGACTTCCCAGCGCAAGTTCTGCCCAGCTCTCATCAGCACATGCCAGATTCCTCATAGCTCCCATCACATCTTGCCTCTGGTTCCAGAAGGTCTTTAAAAATCTCCACATAAATAGCAACAGTCAAGAGGGCCCACTCCAGACGCCCTTGGGGGGCAAGGAGGTACGTTTTGTTTTATGACATTGGAAAGTTTGATATTCTTCCTTTTTTGACAAGCACATGCAGTTCAGCATGACTTAAGAAATGCTAAGCAAAGCACATGTGACCCCTACACAGACATGATGACCCCATGCACTTCCCCAGGAACGTGAGTTCCATACCACTGAGGGGATGTGGCATTAGCATCCAGCCTAAATGTTCAAGTGGAAACAAGAAGTAAATGCTGGCTTCCCTGGCATTTCTGAGAAGCAGAGGGGTCTTGTTGGGAATCAAGAATCAGGGCTGTGCTTTTGTCTCCCTGACAGGAAAGCGTCGCCTTTCATGATGAGACAGAAACCCACCAGAAAGACAGTTCCCACAGTGTCGCTCCCACTAGCTACATATAACTGTGCAGGCTCGTGAAAGCACAATGTGTGTTAAATGTCAGGAGAATGGACCTCAGGGGCTCTCAGCCCAAACTCAAGGGCTGTCAAGCCTGTCACATCGCTGCCTTCTACCCGAGTGACCTGAGTCGAGTCAGGGGTCTCAGCAGAGAAAACAGACTACTCAGCACCTGGCAAGGGTAATAGCTGTTTCATGAGACAGCACCTGTATCTCTCTGTGTATACACAGAAGCATCTGTGAATGTACCTGTGTACACACATGGGTGTGCATCTGTGCATGTGTGTACACAACATGTAGTGTTCACACATACCTTGTACATACACATGCATTCATGCATGAGCACACTTCTGTGCTTCTCTGTGTGCCTATGTGCACACACACACGTGTGCGGTGCAGGTATACGCTCTTGTATGCAAAACTTCCAATCTAATGTCGCATTCTTTTTTTTAATATTTTTTAAAGATTTACTTATTTATGCATACAAGAGCTGGGGTACAGGCCAGAGGTGTGGGGGGTGAGAGGATTCACCAGAGACAGAGTGGGGAGCAGAACAGGCAGATTGACCGAAATACACTGCTGAGGGGAGCAGTGGGCGAGTCAGAACAGGTTTGCCGCGCCATGTGGGTTGCTCCCTGGCTGGCCGGGAATTAAACTCGTGCTGCAGTGGCTGCGGATTGCTTCATAGGTTGCATCTTAACCAAACTCGTGCTGCAGTGGCTGCAGATTGCTTCATAGGTTGCGTCTTAACCCCTAGCGCCACCAGGGAGGCCCTAATGTTGCATTCTTAGAGGGAACGGTGACTGCAGCTGAGGTCTATCATGGGCACCCATGTTCTGGCTCCTCTTCCTGGTCCCTGGCACATATGACCACATATACTTAGAGTGTCAGCACACCTGTAGGCGCAGAATGCTAGTCAATGCCTACCTATATCCCTGTGCCCCTGCTGAGCACCAGAGAAAGTGAAACAACCCTCCCACAGACCTTACTTTTCCTGTTGGCACCTTCCAGGCCACCCTCACATTCTCCAGACTGGACACACTGCTGCCAGGCACAGTGGGCTGGACTGGGAAATGCTGGCAGACCCAGGGAGGTATGTGTCTCAATCATGACTCAATCATGACCCACTCCTGCAGAGCTATTTCCAGAGGTCAGAGGTCCCCACGTCTCCCTGGAGAGCCTGGAAATAGCACTAAAACTGGTGACCCAGCCCTCCAGTGTATCACACATGGGGGGCAAATTTAGGTAAAGGAGATTATGTTGAAAAGCTATGCTGTAGCTGGAATTTATCTGCGTTAATTTTTAAAACTTTCCTACTGTCCAAGATGGCCACAATCTACACATACACTGATACACAAGCACACAGAGGGATATGCATGACACACAGATTCACACAGACACATATGAATAGACACAGACGCATGGCTATACACACAGGCACACACTGACACACTGCACATACATGGACATATATAAACACAGATACGTGCAAACACACATATACAGAGGCATGGATCTCCAAGAGACAGACACATGGACTGACACACATACATTTGGGTGGACAGACACAGATCCAAATGTTAACGTTACATTTGGAAGGAAGAGAACTTATTGTTTATGTCTGTTTTGTAAACAATGAAGTACACTGTATATTGCATTGTAAAAAAATTAATCCATTAACATGCATTACCCCCCCCCAATACTGTATTGACAAATATCACACAGGTGGTAGGTATGACATCTCCTGGTCAGCATCTTTATTTCCAGCCATTTCTTTGCCCTTTTTGCAGTTATGCGAAAAAGTGACAAGCAGTTTTGTTTCCTATACATACATCATGGTTTTTGGACAATGAGGTAAAAATAACAGGGCTTTTACACTGGAATTTTCTAATTGCTAACACAGCACTGGACAAGAACTTGCCTTTGCTTTCAATGCTTTATAGCCAAAGATTCCAAAATATTTCTTTAAAATAAAGGACTTAAACAAAATCCAAAGACAAAGTACCTGTGACATCAGTGCCAAGGTCTGGAATTCCTAATAAGTAAACGGCTCTCATAGGCCAGAAGAGCCCACACAGCCCCGGTCCAACCAGGACGTGCATGTCTGTACATAACTGGCCAGTGAACACGGAAAGTGCTGTGCATCCCTGGAAGGAAAGCTGTGCTCATTAAGTGGCCTCACCAAAGTGGCAAAACAGGTCTGGGGACGCTGTCATGCCCGCCCAGCAGGCAGACAATAGCCTTGGAAGTAGAGGCAGCAATCCCGCAAGTCAGCAAGACCAAGGAAGGGAGGGAGGATAAAGAGGACAGGGGCCCCCGCACTTTTACGCTTAGTCTTTTATTTTTCTTTCCTCTAAAACTGGAAATACATGGTTTGGAATTGCCCACAGCTAAGATGATCACAGAGCAACTCAAAGCCAGGGTAGGGCGGCACGAGGGACCTCTGTTCATATTACACCTCACTGATGACATCCTCACACCGCCCATGGGAGAAGATGGAGCTTTTCAGGGCTAGACGGGGGCCATCGGTTCAAGGAGAGATAGGGAAGGAAGCAGGGGTGTGAAAAGCTGTGGGAAAGAGGAAATCAGACAGGGGCACACAGAGTTCCAGGGGCACCGCAGCCCTTTGAGCACAGCCAGGGCAGTGGTGGTTGAGTATGGACCTCTGCCCCCCAAATCACATAGGAAGCAAGGAACACCCTTCCGCTGGAATTCAAGGAGGTGTCCACAAGGAGTGAGCTCAGCCACTCTAGAACATGGATGGAGAAACAAAGTGATTTTACCTGTATCTTGTGCCTCATGAAACTTCCCGATTGTTTCAGGAAAGTGTCTTCAGAGATCTTTGCTCTGAAAATAATGGGAAACAAGAACATATAAATACTTAACTTGTTGATGTACGGTTAAGCCCTTGAAAAGAAACTACATTAGGGCCTCCCCGGTGGCGCAGCAGGTTGAGCGCAGCGCTGTGAAGCTCTCTGCAGCCTCCGCAGCTCCAGTTCAATTCCCGGCCAGCCAGGAGAATCCCACATGGTGAGGCAGACCTCTCCTGTCTCGCCCACTGCTCCCCTCCGCAGAGTATTTCAGTCAGTCTGCCTGTTCTGCTTCCGGCTGTCTCTGGTGAATCCTCTCACCCTCCCACGACTCTGGCCTGTACCCCATCTCTTGTATAAATAAATCTTTGAAAAAATAAAAAGAAACTACATTAAAACAAGCTCTCTGAACTCCTCATCCCCCCCCACCCCAACACTGGGCCTGGGCACATAGCAGGAGGAGTGAGCATGTGCCATCACTCACCCCTAAACAGAGGCTGTGCCACTCAGCCAAGGTGCTGGAGCTGATACCCAACCAGTGACCAAAAAATAAGCCATTCAAAATGGCTGTAGTCCAGCCCTGAGTCCATTCATCAAAAAAATGTCATCAATCCATCTGAGCTTCAGATACAACACGTAACCCTCAGAGCTCACATTCATGGAAATCCAAGGTGCGAGGTAATAAAGGGAAAGAGCAAAGACACAGGACATATTGACCCACTTTGCTGACTGTTTTCAAGCCAAACAGAAGAATTTCCAGAAGTGGTGCCACAAGTTTCTGAGTGTTTGTTATCTCTTCATGGTGCAGGGTGGAGCCCCCAAAATAGGAACCCCAAGTGCAGTAGGATCACAATTAGACAAAGAATCAGAACCACAGAACCAAAGTCACATGCACGCATGGAATTACAGAGGGCTCGGAGGAGGCAGCGAGAGAGACGCTGACCCTCCGTGGGTATGAACGTCCCAACATCGCTTCTCAAGCTTAGACTCAAACGTTAATGTTTTTGTGGTCAATGCATTTTTGTTTTCCTTTTGCTACTTTTTTTTTTTTTTTTCCTGAAGACAGCTAAGAGCAGGAGGCAGTCCCTGGAAATACGGTTAATGTCCCATTCCTCCCATCATCCCTATGCGCAGAGACCCACATGCACCCCATTCTTACATATTATCCATGGCACAAGTTTTGTGGGGTGCCCTGGGCCCATCAGTGGCTAACATGTCCCCTGAATCCTAAATAAATGTCTCAAGTTAGCAAATGAGACCCTGGCCCACCCTGGCAGGGCTCCAGACACTGATTCGAGTCTTTGAGATGGCAGTGGCTGCTTCTGATGGCCAATTTATAAGCCAATACCGTGACACAGGAGATCTGGGGTGTCCCATGCAAAGCCATGCCCACCCAGAGATACACCCAGGGCACAACCAAGGAACAGATGACTGCAAACCATCAAATACCTGATACTCGAAATACAAGGGGTTTAAAAAGAAAGCAAGTTGCCCAGAAATAAGAGGCTTAGATGAACATCAGTGCCAAGACATTTTAAACTATAGAGCTTTCTCTTAGAGAAATCAGATAAGCCTTCATCACTCTAATCAAAGGCAGATCCCGCCTGTTCTCTGGTTGGACAAGGCACACGTCACAGGCATCCAAATTTCAGGGGATAAAAACAGCAGCAGCAGGTTTGGGGTATCTGTGTTCATGATAAGCTCATACCGTGGACTTGAGGTGCCGGTACCTCATTTTCTATCTTCAAGGCAAGTCATCACATGTCTTCTCCACCAATAGGCTCTGGCCCGTGGTTCCTGAGTAAAAATACCCTCTCCTGACCTCAGATGGCCCCAAGGCGAGGCCCTTCTCTGCATCTTTTACAAGGTAATTTTTTCTTCTTTCTCAACAGAAAAACCCACAAGCTATAATTAGTTATCACCACACACTCCTCATGCAATTGCAAATCATGTCCCTCAATTCTGCATCTCCTATTTACTTATCGGGACTCAGAGGGAATGCAATGTCCACTTGCCAAATAAAGGGGTAGGTGAATCCAAAAAGAGAAATGTTTCCCCTGCATGCACCCAAAACTTGGCCTTAGCTCCCCTCCACAACCCCCAACCCCACAGGTACAGGATCCGTGCAGCCCCCACACCCTGGTCCTGAGAGCGGCTGCTCGGGGGCCATCTGTGACGATCATGCGGCCGAGCCCGGTGGGCCTATCTTGCAGGCATCTTGCTGACATTCTGCAAACGTGACCTCACCTGAAGGCCCTCACCTCAGGAGCAGCCAAGTGGTCTCTTCTCACAGGGGGGATGGGACCAGAGCACTGGGCTCTGCAGTCAGTGGCATGGGCTCAGACTTGGCCTCTGCACTTACTAGCTATGTGTCCTCGGGAGAATGAATGTCATCTCTGTACCTCTGTCTCCTCAACCAGAAAGAGGGCAGGATAACGGTACTGCCTCATTTGGTTGTGGAGGATCTGGAATGACCTGTGTGATCTGGAATGACCTGTGTGATCCAGAATGACCTCTATGAAGGACAGCCTGTTACCCAGCAGGTTTGGGGTATCTGTGTTCATGATAAGCTCACACTGTGAACTTGAGGTGCTAGTACCTCGGCGTCTGTGAGTCGACTGTGATTCTTCCCACCAGAGAAACAAAGCCAGTTAGAATGACCTTACTAAGAAGAGTCCATGGACATAAAAAGTGGGTTCTGGCTGCCAGCACATTTGACCCCACTATTAAAGCTTCCTCCCGGCAAGGGGAGCTCAGGGCTCTATGCTGGTTTGCCAGGTCAACATCCACACTCTCCAGGCGGCAGCCCCCAGAACCCCCCAACCTCCTGGCCCCAGCATGAAAGCCCATCTCCATGGTGCCAGGGGTAGTGTGCAGTGGGGGCCTCAAAGGCAGTCAACCCCACCACACCGGCCCTGTCTAAATGGGGCTTACACAATGAAACAAGGTGCATTTTTGTCTCTGAGAAGGGCACCCATGGGAGAAGCTACTGTGATGGGGTCAGAGCAGGGAATAAAGGTCTTACGGCAGCCTCCTGGGCCACCCCTGGCAAGAACTTCTCACCTAGGCATGTGCGTGCGCACGCGCACGTTTGTGTGTGTGTGTGTGTGTGTGTGTGTGTGTCTCCATGCAAGAAAACATATTGCATACGCACATGTTTCCATGTATATAAAATATGGTACATCCTTAGGATGGAATACTATGTGGCTGTGAAAAAGAATAAAGCAGTCACAGAGATGAAAGGATATCTAAGATACTGGGTTCAATGAAAATGAAGGCTCCCCACAGTGTGGATGGCATGATCCCACCTGTGCAGACACACGATCTGTGTGTGTGTCTTAATTTTAATTTAAAAACCTGCTAGCAGTGAGAGACAAGTGTGGCTTTGTCTGGGGCAAGGGCATTTTCCATTTTTTTTTCCAACATTTTATCTTTTAGTACTCTTTGAATTTTGCCTATTTTTTTTTACCAGATATTAAAAGTAATATATATTAAGTGTAAGCAATTTAGAAAACTCCAGAGAAGAAAATATTACTGATTCCCTTTTTCCAGTTGACTAAAACGGATTTCATCAGAATGGCAGTTTTCAAGAACAGGAGGCAGACTTGAAATCACTTCCGGTAGTTCTGACACCATGCCCGCCCTCCTGCTAAGAAACCCCAGCAGAAAGGGAAAGCCCTGGAGCAATGCCCCACAGTGCCCCGGAGGGGGACGGGTGGGCTCCCAGCCTGAGGCCACAGGAACCTGCCATGCGGGGCCTGTGTCTGTGGCCACAGAAGGGAGGGCTCTTGGTGAATGGCCTGTGTACCCTGCATGCCTGCATGGCTCCCTGTGGGTGTGCCCCTGCTCCCAAACGTATTTCAAGACTGTTCAAGATGACATAATTAAGTATGGTTAACACTGGACATTCAAATCCTTGTCAATTTTCTACTTAAAATTTGTTCTTAAAGACTGACTGTGACCGGGCCTCCCCGGTGGCGCAGCGGTTGAGCGCTGGGTTGCGAGGCTGCCCGCGGCCTCTGCGGCGCCGATTCAATCCCCGGCTTCTCCCCGGCCACCGGAGGAGGGTCCCACATGGCGCGCAGACCTCTCCTGCCGCCCGCTGCTCCCCTCAGCAGTGTACTTCGGTCCTTCTGCCTGCTCTGCTCCCTGCTCTGGCTCTGGTGAATTCTCTCACCCTCCCGCGCTTCTGACTGTACCCAGTGCTTGCATAAATAAACAAACAAACAAATAAAAATAAAACTGCTCAATTAATAGACTATATATTTTAAAAAAAAAAAAAAAAAAAAAAAAAAGACTGACTGTGACCACTAGCAAAACCTGACAGAGTCATTTTACCTAGCAAAACCTGACAAATACCCAAGTGGTATTTGTGGTTCTGGGGGTCACATCTGTCCTTTCACACCTGGGCACGTGTGGGTTGGTGCATCATTCTCAGGTCGGCTTCCTCCACCCAGAAACCTCTACATAATTTCCATGACATTTCATTCCACTCTTCTAAGTTTTTCCAGTTGGTCGAGCGATTCTGAAATGGCACAGTTGTCTGCTCTGAAACAAGTCATGTAGTGCAAGCCATTTTTATGTTTTTTTTTCAAGCCAATTAGCTGCTCAATTCCATTTGTGTTTATTCTAGCCAGAGCTGCGCCACCACCCCAGCCACTCCCTCAGCTCTCTGCCTTCCTCAGCATGTGCCAGACTCCAGATGCTGAACATCTGAAGGAATCCCCCTCTGTGGGCCGAGAAACTTGGTCCCAAAGGCCACAGACCTGCAGCACTGACTGATAGCGGTGTATGGCTCCTCTATGGCCTCAGGGGCAATAGCAACAATATCCACCTGTGCTCCCAACAGAGCCCTGGTAAGATAGGCTTCAAGGACCTCTGTCTTAGAGGGTAAACGGACTAACAAAATGCAGTATCTACCTAGAGTCACAATCAGAGAAGGCCTCCCACCTTGCTCTGCAGTGCTCACAGGCATGCTGGCATTTCTCAGGCTCCAGAACTGTCCGGTACATGGAGACAGGGTGGCCATGACACAGT